TATTTTAAATAAAAGTACTTAATAAAAATTATATATAATAAAAAAAATTTAATTATCATTTATTTACCCTAAAAAATTATCTAATCATATTTTATGTAAAAATTAAATTGACATAATTAAATTCTATCCTATAAAATTTGGCAAAAAAACATATCATATAAAAAGTTAAAAATTAATATACAAAATTTTAATAAATTTTGTAATAAAATTTTAATTAGTTGATCAACTTTTCTTCTATATTTAGTATGAAATTAATATTGAAAAAAAAAAAAAAAACTAAGTCCACATTTGAAAAGTTAGGAAAAATTTTTTCATTTTAAACAAGTGAGATGAAAAAATTATTTATTGAGAATTCCTTTTTATTTGTTATAATGTTAAAATGTAAAAATTTTAAACTACCCTAAAGCCTAAACGTTTTCTCCTTTTCCTATTATTCTCTTCCCTTACTTTTGTGAATAATGCACCAAACTCAAAATGATTTAAGTGGTGCAGCAGTAGTAATTTCTTTTTATTAGAAATGATTTAAAATTTAAATCAAATGAAATATATGTGAAGTAAGTTAAAAAAATAAAAAAATAACCTCCCATCCAATCTATACCTAACAAAAAAGAAAAAGATAAAAGAAAACTCTTTTAACCATGGATAACAAAGGTTGATTTGGATCTCCATGTAAAAATTCTGGTGCCTTGTTTAGTTTAAGCGATTAATTTGCGAGAGCACGATCTAGCTCAAATTAAGAAGCTTATTAATAACAGAAGCAAAAAAAACTGACTTTGTTTGATTTAATATTTTTAGTTACTAATAATTATAATTATTAATAATAAAATAATTAATATAATTTAAAATTAATTTATAAATTAATATTTACAAATACCAAAATCAGCTGTTTAAAGAATAAATTACCCACACCCCGCACACCCTATAACTTTTGCTTTCTAACACTAGAGGACAAGATGGGGGAGCTAACATCACTTTTTTGTAAGTGGGAAACCAAAATGCACACGCTCCCCATTTGATCAGAGCACTGATTGTTGTCCTCATTGGTTAATGCCCTCCCTAAAGGGATTTTATTTTAATTAACCAACTATTGATTAACAAAATCAAAAAATCTTTTAAAAAAAAATCAAAATATCAAGATATTTTTATGTAAGTATAATCAGAGCGCATAATGGATCGGACATACCATGGACCCACAAGGACCACACAATGTTTGACATGATTTATGGCTGTGAATTGGATTCCCACTTGCTCATTGATTAAGAGGACAAGGTTAAGGAGAACTCCTGTAGCCTACTGGTTATCTGAATCTTATAAAGTACTTTTCATTCTAGATTTAGAGTTGTGGGTTTTAAATTTAACCCTTAATGTTAAAAAAAAAAAAAAAAAAGGTTAAGTTGTTGAGAGTAAAGTTAATTTTTTTTTCTTATGTAAAATATAAGGAGAAAATGTATATAAATTGGGTTTTTTAAAATTAAGAAAAAATATATAAAATTCTGTAATTTAAAAAAAATTATTAAAAAATTAAAATAATTTATTTGTAAAGTAGAATGAGATTATTTGAATATTTTCTCATGGTTTTGGTATCTTTTACCTTTTGAATGTTTAGAAGTTCTTAGTTGCTAAATACTAATTTTATAATATAATATCCTTTATATACCAAAAGAAGCAAAAAATTTTTAATTTAAGATTTCTATTTAATAGGTTAAATAATATTTTTAAAATTTTTTGAGTATTTTTATTAATTAATAAGAGGAGGTAAGCCATAGCCATTTCATTCCAATAAGCAACGACGTTAGTATTAGAAAGGTTAAATTTGTTTTCTTACATTAGTGTCTTGGTTCTGGATGCAGATTCATAATGCCAGAGGAATCCATGCCAAAGGAGGCAGCATATCAAGTAATAAATGATGAGCTGATGCTCGATGGAAATCCAAGGTTGAATTTGGCATCCTTTGTTACAACATGGATGGAACCCGAGTGTGATAAACTCATTATGGCTGCCATCAACAAGAACTATGTGGACATGGACGAATACCCTGTTACTACTGAGCTCCAGGTTGATTTCTTTCTTTATTGCTGCTATAGATATCTTAATCAGCTTAAGGCATCAGGAAATTAATATTAGTTTTAGTTCTCTACAGAACCGATGTGTAAACATGATTGCACACCTATTCCATGCTCCTATTGGAGATAATGAGACTGCAATTGGTGTGGGGACTGTTGGTTCCTCGGAGGCTATAATGCTGGCTGGATTGGCTTTCAAAAGGAAATGGCAACATAGACAAAAATCACAGGGGAAACCCTTTGATAAGCCCAACATTGTCACGGGAGCTAACGTGCAGGTTTGCTGGGAGAAGTTTGCTAGGTACTTTGAGGTAGAGTTGAAGGAGGTGAAGCTGAGAGAGGGATATTATGTGATGGACCCTGAAAAGGCTGTTGAGATGGTGGATGAGAACACTATTTGCGTGGCAGCCATTCTTGGATCAACACTCACTGGAGAGTTTGAAGATGTGAAGCGCCTCAATGAACTCCTCACGAAGAAAAACGAGGAGACTGGTTGGGATACTCCAATTCATGTAGATGCTGCCAGTGGAGGGTTTATTGCTCCTTTCCTTTACCCGGATCTTGAGTGGGATTTTCGTCTACCATTGGTAAAAAGCATAAATGTTAGCGGCCACAAATATGGCCTTGTATATGCTGGTGTGGGTTGGGTTATTTGGAGGAACAAAGAGGACTTACCTGAGGAGCTTGTCTTTCACATCAACTACCTTGGCTCTGATCAGCCTACATTTACCCTCAACTTCTCCAAAGGTAATGTACGAATGCATTCATTTATCTTTGTAGGTATGATTGTGCTTATATTTGTCTCAATTATGGCAGGCTCTAGTCAAATAATTGCTCAGTACTATCAGTTTATTCGCCTTGGCTTCAAGGTAATTTTTATTAATTTTGCGTATAGCAGAGGCCTTAATTTGTCACAGCTAGCACACTTTGGAAAATTGGGTTGAGGCCTTATATGGTGCTAATTGCTCTTCACATTTGTATGATTTTCTCTGTTTCTTGTCTCAACTAAGGGCTACAAGAACATCATTGGAAACTGCATGGAGAATGCAAGAGTGTTGAGAGAAGGACTAGAGAAAACAGGGCGTTTTGACATCCTTTCCAAGGAGGTAGGAGTGCCGCTTGTGGCATTTGCTCTTAAAGACAGCACCAAATACACTGTGTTTCAGATAGCTGACAATTTAAGGAGGTTTGGTTGGATCATCCCAGCTTACACCATGGCCCCGGATGCCCAACACATTGCTGTCCTTCGCATTGTGATCAGGGAGGATTTTAGCCGAGCCCTGGCGGAAAGATTGATCTCACATGTTGAAGAAGTTTTGAAGGAAATGGACACACTCGCTGCCAAAACTGCCGAAACAACAGCTACTGTTGATGCAGCACAGAGGGGGAAGCCTGCTAAAAAGAGTGAGAGAGAGATTCAAGAGGAGGTCACCCAATACTGGAAGCGTTTTGTGGATCGAAGAAGAACTGGAGTCTGCTGAGAGACTTCTGAAATCCATCTTCTTCATAACATTGTGAGTGAACATTAGTGCTGTATGCGTGATTATATATATTATGTGTTCTTGGTGTGCTAGCTGAATGAGTGTAATAACTCTTAATGACCATCATATATATGTAAGTAGAACAGAACGTTTATATTAGTTCTACTTGCCGGTTTTCTTTTAATTGATGTTTTAAACTGTGTTTTGTTTTAGTTTTTTCATTTTTCAACTCATACAATTGCTTCCAAAGCTGAAACCACGTCTGTTCCAAACACATAAGCCAACTAACAGTCCAAGAGCTTTATTTAGTGCTCTAGTTGGAGTGCCAGATTTTGGTATGGAGTAGAACGGAGAGGGGTTCTTGAAGAAGTTTCTAATATGATGATGAAATGTAAAAGTTTAATGATAACATAATGATAATATAAATAAAATAAAAGATAAGAAATGAAAGAGAAAAAGATATGATATTAGGTAATTTGATATAATATTTTTTACATATGAGTAATCTCATTTATAAGGTAGAGTATATATAATATAAGAAAATGTTAAATACCTTTTTTGGTCCGTTTACTATAGGAAAAAGCTTCTTTTTGGTCTCTATACTGAAAAAATCTCCATTTTGATACCTAAATTTTAAAATCTGACCCACTTTTAGTCATTCCGTTAATTTTTGCTCACGTGGCATGTTAACTTAATTGGAACAACTGATGTGGAAAAATCTGACCCACTTTTAGTCATTCCATTAATTTTTGCTCACGTGGCATGTTAACTTAATTGGAACAACTTATGTGGATATACCAACATGTCAAAAATGCTTACATGGACTTAATGACACCCTCTATGTCACCTTCCCCTGCGCAGAAAATTAAAAAAAAAAAAGGTTAAATGCTAAATTTGATTTTTCAACTTTATAAGTTTGCACTTTTTTGGTCTTAAGTTATTTTTTTTCATTTTTTTATCTTTTAACTCTAAAAATTGCACAATTTTAATCATTCCATCAGTTAAATATGACGTGACAATTAAATAATCTCATTTGACATTTTCTTTTAATTTTTTTTATGACATGACAAGTATATATATATTATAATTATGTTATATAGATAAATAAAAATGTCACGTAGATAAATATTTATATTTT